ATTTTTGTGTTAAAATTTTCGATTTTCGATTTTAAATTTTCAACTTAAAAATGCTATAACTTTTTGAAAAATGTATATATCAGCACAAATTTTTTTTTTCTAAATACATTATAAGTACATCTTTCATTTGACATACTTTTTATTAAAATTGGACAATTTCCCCTTATATAGGGGGCGTTCAAAACTTAAAATATTGTAAAAAACATAGATCTTTTTCAACTGAACTTTTGAAAATGTTCCGGAAATACTGCGTCCTTTAAACATATATCAAATCAAAGGTTATGTTATATACTATCAAATGAAAAAAAAAAATTTGTCCCGACATCTTATCTTCTATGTGCAAATGGCTGTCGAAAATTTAAAAAAAAATGTAATGTTTGCGATAAAAATTACATTTTATCGGGATGTTTTTTGTACTTAAAACTGCCATAACTTTTTCAAAAATGAACAAATAAAAATAATATTTTTTTGTATTGAAACCTTAGATATTTCCCTTTCATTTGATATAATTTTTTTTGAAAATCTAACACTTATTCTGCTCACTGGGAGGATTTAAAATAGTAACTTTTTTACAAAAAATAACTTTTTCAACTTAATTTTTGAAAATGTTCCGGAAATACTGCGTCCTTTACTTAAAAATTGGACAATTTCCCCTTATATAGGAGGCGTTTAAAACTTGAAATATTGTAAAAAACATAATTCTTTTTCAACTGAACTTTTGAAAATGTTCCGGAAATACTGCGTCCTTTAAACATATATCAAATCAAAGGTTATGTTATCAGGTACGTAGCCAGAAAATGTTTATTGGAGGTGCCAACAATTTTGGGTCCTTGTATCATTTTTCGTAATATGTTTCCTATGAAAAGTTTGTGGGGGGGTCCCTCCACTCCTCCTGAGAAAGTATCCCATTCTATAAATCTTACAAGTTCAAAATTTGTGTTTATTTTTAAAAAATTGGTAGATTACTCCAAAAGCTACATAATCTGCTAGTTCCTTATTGATATCCTGATTAAGATAAAGTATGTCGAATGAAAAAGGGATTAATAAAAAATATTATTTCTTATAAAAAAATTGCATTGCTCCATACATTTTTCAAAAAGTTATAGCATTATAAAGTTAAAAATGTAAAATACAAAATCGAGAATTTTCACACAAAAATAGCATTCGGTAGCCATTTTCACCGTGAAGACAAAATAAAGTCCGAAATTTTTTTTCCATAATAAAGTATATTACATTGGTTTTAATTTAAAATATATATAAAAGTGTCAGAATTTCCGGAACACTCTCAAAAATTAAGTTGAAAAAGTAAATTTTTTATAAAAAACTTGTCACTTTGAATCCCCCCCTGTGGGCTGGTAAAGGGTTAAATTTATAAAAAAAATATACTAAATGATAAGTAAAGATATCAAGCATCTATAAAAAAAAATTATGTTAATATGTTAATTTTTAAAAAAGTTATGGCAATTTTAAGTAAAAAAAACCCAGCGCAGGAGGGTCGCGGCACAGTGGTCACGTGGTATAGATGGATCAAGTATAATGATAACTGACAGTGATTAAAATCACTATCAAATAAAAACGCTTCGATGCAAATCTTTAAATAGTGTTTAATTTTAAAAAATTGGTGGACTATTCCAAAAGCTACATGATCTGCTAGTTCATTATTAATATCCTAATTAAGATAAAGTATGTAGAATGAAAAAGGGATTATTAAAAAATATTATTTCTCATAAAAAAATAATGTTGATCCATACACTTTTCAATATGTCATAGCATTATAAAGTTAAAAATGTAAAAAATAAAATCGAGAATTTTCACACAANGGGAGTTTTAACTAAAAAAAATTGAAAAATTTTCGAAAATTAGCGATTTTTAAATTTGTAATTTTTTTGGAGGTTTCCCCCATTTACGGGGAACGAGGGAATTTTTTTCAATTTTTGAGGGTAATGTCTTCGACTAGATACAATTTGTGATCTTTTGACGTATCGTTGAAAGAAATCGGTTCAGTGAGAGCTGAGAAAAAGTGGTAACAGACACAAAAAAAAAAAAAAAACACATCTTAGTAAAACCAATACCTTCTCAGCTTCGCATCGAAGCTAAAAAAGAAACAAATTAAAGATATGATTTGTCAAAAAATTTTTCATTAAGTATACTCTATTGAATTTTGTAATCAACTAGATTCTAATCAATGCAGATACTTCGTAGTTTGTTATCATTTGTTGAACTACAGTTAAAAAAAATTTACCTACAACCACGTTTGGAGTTATTGCTATTCCATTTATTATTACGTCTAGAACGTTATCTTTTTCAAATAACGTTTTCTATGAATATAAAAATGAAAATACAGCCATAATAATAACTGTATTACTCAATAGTAATCACAAATTAATAATAATTTCAATGTATATAAGGCCTAGCACGTTTTTGATAATTCGTAAAAATAATTGAATTTTAAATTTGGGGGGGCCGGCCCTGGGCCACATTAAATCTAAGGNTCCTGGGCCACAATAAATCTAAGGGGGGCCAGGCCCACCCTTGTCTACGTGCCTGTATGTTATATACTATCAAATGAAAAAAAAAAATTTGTCCCGACATCTTATCTTCTATGTGCAAATGACTGTCGAAAATTTAAAAAAAAATGTAATGTTTGCGATAAAAATTACATTTTATCGGGATGTTTTTTGTACTTAAAACTGCCATAACTTTTTCAAAAATGAACAAATAAAAATAATATTTTTTTGTATTGAAACCTTAGATATTTCCCTTTCATTTGATATAATTTTTTTTGAAAATCTAACACTTATTCTGCTCACTGGGAGGATTTAAAATAGTAACTTTTTTACAAAAAATAACTTTTTCAACTTAATTTTTGAAAATGTTCCGGAAATACTGCGTCCTTTAAACATATACCAAATTAAAGCTTATTTTATGTACTATAAAATGAAAAAAAAAATTTGTCCCAACGACCTATCTTCTATGCGCAAATGGCTGCCGTATTCAAAAATATGCTATTTTTGTATTAAAATTATGGGTTTTGTATTTTATTTTAATAGAAGTTGATGTTGCTTTTGCAATTATCCATCAATTTTTTAAAATTAAACACTATCTACAGATTTGCATCGAAGCGTTTCTTATGATAGTGATTTTAATCACTTTCAGATTAAATCTATACTGGACCTAACTATGTAATGTCTCCAATATGCCGCGACCCCACTGTGCTTTTTTTAATTTTCTATTTAATAATGTCAATTTCAAACTTGCAAGTTATGGTAACAAATTCATTTTTTTTTTATTAAAACTTTCACTTTAAAGGACAAAAAAAAATAGGTTCAAAATGATTACTTTTAACATATTAAAAATCAAAATCAGTAATAATTTGAAAACAATTAATTTTAAAAATTATATAATTTATAATTAAAAGAATTACTAATCTGGGTATAATTAAGGAAATAGAAGTTGATGTTGCTCTTGTAATTATTCATCAATTTCTTAAANAATTATGGGTTTTGTATTTTATTTTAATAGAAGTTGATGTTGCTCTTGTAATTATTCATCAATTTCTTAAAATTAAACACTATCTACAGATTTGCATCGAAGCGTTTCTTATGATAGTGATTTTAATCACTGTCAGATTAAATCTATATTGGACCCAACTATGCAACGTCCCCACTATGCCGCGACCCCATTGTGCTGTGGTTTTTTCTAATTACGCCTCAAATATACTAATTATACTAGTTTTCCACATGTATGTAAAATTGCTTGTTTTAATCTCCGTAGTATTATACATACTAATTTAAGTGTTACCTGTATAATTACAACAATACAAAAACAGTGAAAATAAATAAAACATTTAATGGTTCTTTACAATTCTTAGAGGGACCAAAGGCATACTACCAACTGTATTTATTTTTATATGTATAATTGCGATCAGAGAGGATGATAGTATGCATTAATTCTTAATGATCTATCGATGTTCATCAGAACTTTAATTTGTTTAATTAAAATAATTATTGTAAATGTAAACACTAATTTATTTCTAATTTGGTTTTTTCTATGATCATCTTTCAACGTTATTTATATGAATGAGCTCAAAACGTTTTTTTGAATAAGCCTGTAAAATTAGCAAGTGTGATGAAAACAGAAAAATGAACGTGAAATTTTATGTTATTTCATTATTTGTGTTGACAAATATCTCTGTACAAAGACTTAAATAATATTTAAAAATTGACAGGCGTAAAATGTTTATTCTGAAACAAAAAATTTGAGAGAATTTGATGAGGTTTTTATTTGATGCCTAAAATACATTATAACTATATATTAAAGTAATATCTAATGTATTACAAATATAAATATTTAAATTCCTGTTAAAATAATCAATTATTCAAATAATAATTCAAATTATCTTACAATTTATAGGATTTAAATTTTCGAAATTTTACATAACATATTAACATACAGGACGTTCTATGTACTTAATAATGTTAATTACATTATAATGAATACACCAGATAATAAAAATACAAAAGTTAATTTATAAATACAAAAGTATACCGACTAAATGGTAAAATATTTTTATTTCTTCACATTTTTTAAAATATACTTATGCGAATTTACAAATGAATGATAACTTAAATTTATTATTACAATTATTATTTATATAATAATATAAGTATTTAATTTTTCTACATTTTTGGGGGTTAAGCCTTCCATGATTCCCCACTATATAGCTTTTGGTAGTTATATTTATTACTTTTTCAAATATAAAAATAAATTAGAATTTAATATAGAATAATGAGAAAAATACATTAATGTAAACATGTTTTTATTTTATATTAAATAATAAATTTTTATAATTGTTAAAATAGTAAAACGTCGTATCTACTTATTTGTCCACTACTATCATATTAATTATTCACCAAAACCAGTCACCGATTACTTCCAAGACAACACAACTACTGTAACTCGCTCAACAAGTTTTTCACGACGAACGTTCATTAGCCTAAATCGCAATGTTATCAGTACCAAGCAGGTCACTGTACAGTCGTTTTTACACAAAATACATGATAACCGCGATCACTTAGAGTGGAAAATGTAGTTCTGCTAAAAGTCTAATACTCTTTGTTTTTTTTTTTTAGTTTAAATTAATACTTTAGTTATCACGATTTAATCTATTATTTAAAAAAAAGTTGTTTGGTGTTCATGCGTAAATAATGAAAATAAACTGTAGCCGATCGATGAATTGAATTCTGTCTTAAATCACCTTCACTTTGTTACTGCCATTTACAAACATTTAAAAAACATTGAATGAAATATCAAAATTATATGGATTTTATATTTTTATAATGGATAAATATTCAAAATTCTAGTAGCTACTTTTCTTTGGACATAGACTTATCAAAATGAAAAGTGAGTATAACATTGATTGGGTCATACCTAAACTTAAAAATCGAAATGGACTTTGGAGAGTGGCTTCAAATATTACTATGGTGGCAGTCGGTATATTCAGTAAAATAATCATTGGTAAGTAGTTTACTTTAGAAATAGCTTTTTATTGGAATGATAAGTGTTCAGAATTGTTTTCTAATTTCTAGGTTGGTTCAACAAAGCAAAATTTTACAACACCAATACTTTTATGAAAGCTATTGAACGACCAAAACATATACCTCTAATAACAGTTTCTAATCATGATTCGTGTTTTGATGATCCTGGGATTTGGGGTATGTAATATTAGTAGAAATTTGACTTTATTATAAAGGTATTTTAAATAAACTGTTTTTCAAAGCTGCGTTCAGTTGGAGAAATATATTCTTAGCCAAACAAGCTAGATGGTCGTTGGCAGCTAATGACATTTGTTTCACAAATTCTTTATGTGCTCATTTTTTTACTCTTGGACAGTGTATTCCAACTATCAGAGGAAATGGAGTGTATCAGGTAAATAATTTAAAAGTTAAATCAATATACAATTAAATTATCTATAATAAAGTAATACTAAAAATATTAAATATTAAATTTAATCCTCTCTCCAAAATACATTCTTTAATGTTATCAACTTCCAGTAACGTCATTATGTTATTTAAAATAAAATAAAATAAAATAATGTTCATTATTATTAATTTTATAATAATTACAATTTAATTGTATTTAATTTAATTAAAAAAAAATTAAATGCTATAATTCTAAAGTCATGAATTACAAATAAATAGGATTTGGGACTTAGAATTAAGAAAAATAGTGAATTTCTCTTGATCTTTGATGTCCTCAGAATGATTAAAATAAACTTTATAACTGCATTAAGTCCTGAATCCTATTAATAACATTATTTTAAAATAATCATTTTGAGAAAACATATAACTTGTTTTGTTGCTGAATATTTATTTCATACGTGTAATAAAAACAATTATTCTTGTAAATTTACTTAATGTATTACTTATTTTAAATAACAAAAAAACACCTAAATATTTTTTAAATTATTGTGTGAAACATTACATGTGTTCATGAAAATGATACATGTTGTGTTATTTTTTCCTTTTTTGAATTTATAGTAATTTATATTTATTTCAGAAGGTTAAATTTATATATATTACTAATTTCCATTTTTTTTTTTACTTTTTTTCAATAATTATTTAATAAAATTAATTTCAATAATCATGCATACATACCATACATCATGTATGGTGTGTGTATATATATATATATATATAT